CTCCAACATGTCCTACATGCCCTGCATGCCCGTAAGGGTTGTGAGAAGCATGACCAACATGGTGAGCTCCATAGGCTGCTGCGGCTGCACCAGCTGCTCCAGCTATCATGCCTCCGAGTCCACCACTAGAATGTCCTGATGAAAACAAGAAAAATGTATTACATTGTGAACATAAACTTGTCCATACGATAACAACAGTGTACATCTACTAAATCTTTAAGTTTAAAACATCAATGTCTATCTGAATAAGACTCTGAAACCACCTCAAATGTTCAATATTAGGAAAAGTATACACAATACACCAATTGAAACAGAATATAAGGACACCATTTGAATAAAAAAACCCATCAACAATTTAAAAACACAACAATCTGCATAATAAAAACAGCAACATGTACAAAGTATTGTCCTATAATCATCATTCAAGCAGAAACCGCATTTCGAAAGTTAATAATCGGAGCAAACTACGACAAAAAGGACAGTTCTCAAACCATATAATAGTTTTTACCTGAGTGGTGAGGAGCAGCAGGATAGCCTGCAGGAGGATAACCTCCAGGGGCAGGAGGGTATGCACCGGGAGGATATCCCGCAGGTGGATAACCTCCAGCTGGTGGATACCCTTGTTGTGGTGGGTAACCTTGTGGTGGATAACCTCCAGGAGCTTGTGGGTAATGATGTCCTCCTGGGAAATGAAACCCTTTCTCTTGTTCATCATGATGCTTGTCTTTACCACCTCCCATTGCTTTTTTCTTACTCAAATTTCACCAAATTAAAACCCTACAAGAGTTTGATTTTATACACATCAGGTCTCAAAGATCAAGCAAAACTTTAACATTTTTTACTTGTTATAGCATCAAAACAGACAAACAGATCACAACAAGCAGAATCAGATCACAAGAATAGTCATCAACCCATAAGCAGATTCGGCGAAAAACGAAATCTAATTCGCCAGAAAACGGATTTTTCCTCATTTGTTCAAATCTAAATCGAAAACCATACTAATACACATAACATGGATCCAAATTCGAAAACCAGAGACGATTTCGGCAAACGAAGAAAATGCGAATCGATCATACATAATCAAGAGAAAGGAAAAAACTGCATACGGTTCGATCAAGCACACAGAGATAGATCAGCGATCAAAAGGAAAAAATTGAGAGAAAATCTTACCGATTACGAAATTGCGAAGAATGTTTCAGAATGAATTTG